GGATTTAGTTTTTCGCGCTTTCCAAAGCGTATAATGCCCTTCCAGGGTAAGACCTTTAGTAGGACACGGTCACCAACCTGAAATTCCAAGGGTTTTCGCCTCTTGTCGGCGTAGTTCTTTTGCCTATCTCTTGAGGCTTTCAGTCGTTCGCGGATTTGAACAATCTTCTAAGTTGTTTCCCTAATAATTTCCAGGCCAATGAGAATGCTATCAGGGACTAGGCCTATTTCCAACTGCGTGTCACCCACTTCCGCCCAGCACAGAGGTGATCTACACTTGCGGCCGTAGAGGGCTTCAAATGGAGCAGTCTTGATGCTAGTGTGATAACTGGTGTAATATGAGAATTCAACTAATGGTAAGTGGGTGTCCTATATCTTACCAAAGTCTATTACACAAGCCCGTAACATGTCTTCTAGGGTTTGAATAGTTCTCTTACTCTGTCTGTCAGTTTGAGGGTGGTAGGCTGTACTCATGTCTAGCCTAGTTCCCAAGGATTTCTATAGTGATTGCCAGAATTGTGAAGTGAATCTGCTATCTCTGTCCGAGATAATAGACATCGGTACTCCATGGAGTCGTACGATCTCCCTGATGTAAATTCTTGTCAGTTTCTACATCTTATTGGTCTCCTTGATTGGCAGGAAGTGGGCAGACTTGGTTAATCTGTCAACGATCACCCATATGGTATCGTAACCACTTTGCGTTTTGGGTCGTTTGGTTATGAAATCCATGGAAATCTGCTCCCACTTCCACTCAGGTATTTTGGGTTGTTGAAGTAGACCTGAGGGTTTTCGATGTTCTACTTTGATTTTGGCGCAAGTTAAGCATTTGCTCACATAGGTAGCAATCTATGCTTTCATGTTTGGCCACCAATAGATTTGTTTGAGATCCAGATACATCTTATCTGAACCTGGGTGTACGGAGTATCGAATCTTATGTGCTTCATTCATAACCACTTCTCTGAATCCACCAAATTTCGGTGTCCAGATTCGATTCATGAGATAACGAACTCCGTTACTTTGTTTTCAAGATTCTTGTCCATTCCTCTAAGTGCTTCACCTGTCACATTTTCTAATTTCAAGGCTTCAAATTGAGCTTTCTTGATTTGTGTTGACAGGTGTGAATGGATTGTCATAGTTAACCCTTTTACTCTTCGACCAGAGTACTCCTTTCGTCTGAGGGCATCTGCCACTGCATTGGCTTTTCCGAGATGATAACGAATTTCGCATTTGTAGCCATTGAGTAGCTCTACACATCGTCGTTGCCTCATATTTAGCTCCTTCTGATCGAATATATGCTGAAGGCTCTTGTGGTCTATGAAGATGGTGCATTTTGTGCCGTATAGGTAGTGTCTCCAAATTTTTAGAGCGAACACTATGGCTCCAAGCTCAAGCTCGTGGGTGGTGTAGTTAACCTCGTGGGTTTTTAATTGTCGTGAGGCGTAAGCAATAACCTTCCCTCGTTGCATCAGCACACAACCCAACCCTTGAATAGACACATCGCAGTATACTACAAAGTCTTCTGTCCCTTCTGGAAGAGACAAAATGGGTGCACTGCACAGGGCTTGCTTTAGAGTTTGAAATGCAGCATCTTGTTTTTCTCCCCATTTGAAGGTTATGCCCTTCTGAGTCAGGGTAGTAAGGGGTTTGGCGATGCTGGAAAAGTTTTGTATGAATCTGCGTTAATAGCCAGCAAGGCCTAAAAATTAGCGGATTTCGATTGGCGTCTTTGGTGCTAACCAATTCTTGATTGCTTTGATTTTGGAAGGGTCCACATGAATTCCTTCTTTGCTGACCACGTGACTTAGGAAATCTACTTTCCTAATCAAAAACTCGCACTTTGAGAACTTTGCGTATAGCTTTTCTGCTCGTAGTGTCTCCAAGACTTGTCTAAGATGCTGACCATGTTCTTCTTTACTCCTTGAATAGATGGGTATATCATCTATGAACACGATCACAAATTTGTCCAGGAAAGAACGAAATACCCGGTTCATTAAGTCCATGAACACGGCGGGTGCATTAGTTAGTCCAAAAGGCATCACTACAAATTCGTAGTGACCATATCTAGTTTGAAATGCCGTTTTAGGAACATCACTTTCCAGGACTCGAAGTTGACGATATCCGGATCTTAGGTCGATTTTTGAGAAGTAATTTGCTCCTTGGAGTTGATCGAACAGATCGTCTATTCGTGGCAAAGGGTATCGGTTCTTTATGGTGAGTTTGTTTAGCTTGCGGTAGTCGATGCACATTCTGAACGATCCATCTTTCTTCTTTACAAACAGGACTGGTGCTCCCCAAGGTGAGTAGCTTGGTCTGATAAATCCTTTGCTGAGCAGTTCGTTTAGTTGACTGGATAATTCTTGCATCTCTGCTGGGGCTAAACGATAGGGTGCTTTGGCTACGGGGGTGGCTCTAGGAATTAAGTCAAGTCTGAATTCAACTTGTCTTGTTTGTGGTACTCCTGGAAGATCTTCGGGAAATACGTTGGGAAAATTACAGACATCAAGAATGCTCTTGATGTCTTCTACTTCTCGCTTTCCATCCATGACGTGTGCCAAGAATGCATGGCGTTCCTTGCGTAAATATTTTTGAGCTTTGACGCAAGAGATGATACGAAGATTTGTACTGGGTTTATCGCCATAAATAATGAGGGTTTCGCCATTTGGCAGATTACGGCGAACGGCCTTTTCGTAACCTAAAATGTCCGTACGATGAGAACTTAACCAATCCATGCCTATGATAACGTCGACACTTTTTATTGAAATCGGCATGAGGTTGATGGAAAAAGAATTATTGTTTAGTGTGAGAGTACAGTTTCGGTATATTTCTTTAGCGCCTTCTGTTTTTCTGTTAGCCATTTCTACTATGAATGTTTCGTTTAATGGTTGGGGTGTTTGTTTGAGTAGATTTTTAAACTTGTGACTCACGAAACTCCTCTCTGCTCCACTATCAAATAGAATGCATGCATAAGAGTTATCGAGGAGAAACGTACCAATTACCACCATAGGATCTGCAATGGCTTCCTCTTGTCCCATTGCGAAAACTCCGCCTCCTCCACCAGCATTCCTATTATTTGCCTTCGGGCAGTCCCTCCTGAAGTGCCCCACTTCACCGCATTCATAACAAGTGCGACCCACTCCGAAATTTGTGGCTGGAGCGGCCGGTTGGATCGGTTCCTTGCAAAAACGGACAATATATCCCTTTTTATTGCACCTCTTGTCGTGCATTTCACGGCAGGGTCCGTGATGATGATAATTTCATTTATTGCACCTCGGCAAGTTTCCGGAGTACGGCTTTGTTGGTGCTGGGGTGGTAGGGACAGTGACGGTGTGAGCTGCCACTATTCGTTGTCTTTTTTTGTTTTCCTGTGTTGTTTGCCCCTTTCTTTTGTTCTAGGGTTTCCTTCGGTTCTCACTCTCTTTTGGTGGATCGGAAGTGATTGCGATTGTGCCCTGGCGAACCCCATGGTCAATCAGTCGTTGAGCCAAGCGCTTTGCTCTGTCAAACGTGATCGGATTAGGTGCTAGGACATGCTCTTGGATCTGGGGCGACAGTCCCCATATATATCTCTCTACCTTCTTCTGTTTCGGACTCACCATCCCTGGACACAAGGCAGCTAAATCACTGAACCTGACCGTGTATGCGGCAAGATCAGATCCAGTCATCTTTAGATTCCACAACTCTTGCTCTAACTTCTGAATTTCGCCCCTTGGGCAATACTCTGCCAGCATTAAGATTTTTAGATCCTCCCAGCTCATGGCATTAGCAATCGGGAGAGATAAGGCTTTCACATGGCCCTTCCACCAAGTGAGGGCTCGATCAGAGAAAGTACAAGCAGTGAACTTGACTTTACTTGCTTCCGGACATACATAGATTTCGAAGACCGTTTCGGTCTTCTCGAACCACTGCATAAGTGCAATGACTCCTCCGATTCCATTAAAAGTTTTTTGTTTTGCATTTGTAAAATCCTTATATGTGCATTCTCTGGAATGACGATGACCATTGCCATGGTTTAAGTGGTTGGTACTACTTCCTAGTCCACCTGTGCGATTAGAGTTTATCTGTGTCAAAGCAGCTGCAACTGCTGTAGTTATAGCAGCTTGTACCATAACGGGGTCATATTGGGGAGGTGGTAGCGGTGGTGTTGGTGTTGCATTGTTGACGCGTCTACCAGATCTACGAGGAGGCATCTTTCTGCCAAAGAATTAACAATGAAAGACAATAAGTCCTTGATAATTGGAAGTCGAGTGTTAGTAAGTTAACCATTTTGGATTGTTCATGCATTAAGATTCTACTTTAAGATGTGATTTGTATTCAATTCATACTAAGAGTGTATATAGAAGATCAACTTATGAATTTCGAGTGATATGTAACATAATGCAAAGCAAATACTTTAATATAATTATATATATATATATATATATATATATATATATATATATATATACACATTACTAGAAAAACAGCCTTTTACGACGCTCATTGCGCGTCGTAAAACGCTCAGACGACGCGCAAATACGCGTCAAGAAAGGCCTTGTCATAAAGAGAGACGACGCACATTTATGACGCGCATTTACGACGCGCGGTTATGACACGCAATGCGTATCAAGGAAGCCCCTGTCAAGAAAGGCCATGTCATAAATGAAGATGACACACATTTTTGCGTATCATAATTTTAAATGTTCTAAAAAAAATATATTTATATATTTATTAAATTTTAAATTAAATTTGCATTTAATGTCTCATAATAGAAATAAAATATCATATACAAAAAATACAATCCATTGCATAAAATTTAATGTCATACAATTCTATTTCTTACGATATCTAAATTTGCATCTAATCTACTCTGTACATCAAATTCCAACTAAGTAAAGTTGCATCTTGCCTTTCATAATTCTTTAAGACTAATGTTCCAAACTCATTTGATACATGATCGCAGTCCAAATAAGATGATGGGATTAAAATTTAAAATAAGGTTTTCTATTGTAGATTATTTGTAACCTAAGCATCAGATAAGTAAATTCCCGGATGATGTGGAGTGGCATCTTGTTCCATGACTCTCATTTCTTGATCAACACTTTCAAATACCCAATCTGGTAGACGAATCATGTCCACCAACACCTAGAAAGATATACATTTGGTATTTAAGGGTTGACCAAGTCAAAAAAAAACATAGGAGAAATATCTTACAATAAGATTTTTAACATAATATCCTAATAGTTTAACGACCCAATTTATTTAGACAAGAACATACCAAGAAATGAATTTAGCACAATCATTTATATAGATATTAACAAGACAATATAAAAAGAACAACAGAGGTTACCCCATATTGGCATATTCTAAAAACTAAAAGTTTGAGTTTTAGGGTTTCAAGTCAACTTACCCGCATCCCAGATGCATAATCTTCAGCTGCCCTAAGAAGCTCGACTAGTTGAACAGCAGCATCAAGAGCATCTAGAGCCCATGAAGGTGGTGCTTCTAATAATCCAAGAAGAAGTCTTTGAGTAGCACTTGGACTAGCAATAGCATAGTACCTATGGAAGAGCCTTGCATAAGTCTCTAAAGCAGGAAGCCCTGCAACAAGATGCTCATCCATGGCAGTTGTTGGAGGAGGAAGTAATAGAGCAGGAACAGCAGCTGCAGTTAGAGTAGCGGTTTCATAACGAGCAACTTCCTCATCACATAAACTTAAAATTACACCTGCGTCATCAGCAACAGCCCACGTGAAGAAGCCATTACTAAACACAAAATTTTACTACTGTGTTAATTGTTATTATCCTTCTTTCAAAAGTTTTATTAAAAAAAAACATTTCCACTTACCAAGAGAAGGTGGCTTCAGTTCCCCTGCAGCGTATTTTCCCATAACACCCCCACACCTACATATGTTAATTAAGTAAGAAAAGGTAATAGTCATGAAAACACACAAAAAGAACTTTTTTTTTTAATAAATTAAACAAGCACTTACCAACGAAACTAGTCGCTTCTGATACCTATAGGTGCAGCAAGCAATAAATCAGTGATCCAAGGAGACAGAGGCCTTAGTGGTTTCCTTTCATGGTGTCCAGATGGTGAAGAAGAAGAAGAAGAAGAAGAGGATTGAACATTTGTAGGGTTATTGTTGATGCCTGGCTACCACTGCTACTTCTATCTGTTTCACCATGTGGGTGTTCAACTTTGAAAATTGGTCGACTGTAATGTGTTAATATTCGTAAAATATCTCCACATGCTAATGCCCATTGTTTGTTCATAAACCACAAGAGAAGAAACATAGAGGTGTGAGTATGACTTCAGGTGGCCAAGCCCTGTTCACAATAAATAAAATAACGATCAAACCAAACCATTTGTACATGTTACCTGATTTAGATTCAAGGGTTTGATTGGGTTTAGGCCCTTGAAACCCATCCAAAGCATCTAAAGTCAACTGTCACCCACAACCACCACCACTTGAGGTGGAGGTGGGTCCCACCCCCACCTCGACCCCTGCTGCAGCAACATTCCCAGCAACATTCCCGCACCAGATGAGTAGTCCCGTTTGTAAGACCAGGACCCACATGCCTGTTTACTATCGTTGACTTCATCAGCATCTCGGTTAATGACAACACCTTCAATGTTATCTGTATGGGGAATAATCCCCTGTGGCCTATCCACTGTACTCCCACCTTCATATACATTTCTTTTGTTCGGGCCCCAGGATTCATACGAAGCTGCCCGACCTCACTGCCCGCAGCCTGCCCGAGATTTGGGTCTTGGTATAAGTCTGATACAGGTCTTTTTTGAGATAATCCACTTCCCATTGTAAGATTTAAATCCATTCCTGTAGTTGCAGCTTCATCAATGTCTTCTGTTTGTTGTTCAGCTTCAACCCATCCATTGATATCAGATTGAAGAAGAAACCGATCGATTTCTGGGCCTCTTGAAACCTTCATTTGGTCAAGTGCTGAAGTAGCCACAAGGGGTAGAAATGGAAATTGAAGGAGTCCATCACAGCGGCCTTTGTAACCTCATCGTCTTCATCCTGGATATATATTATATATATTATTTAATGTTTTAAAAAACAATATTTTAATTTTATCTGTTTTTTTTTAAAGTGAACCTGTTTGATTTCAGGAGGAGCAGGGATTTCAGGGGCTAATAAGTCTTCACGCTCTTCAGGATCATTACCAACTGCTTCATCATCATCTGTGAAAATCTCCTCATGCTCCCAGTCATCACCTGAAATCTCACATATAATAACAAATAAACAAACAACCTATTTTCATTTCTCATGGAAAATTCAAATTCAAGTAGTAAATGGAATGTGTCATTCCATTCCATTATCCAAATAACAAAACAATCACCTTTCTCAATATCATCATCATCAAAATCAAGATCACCACCTCTAGGGCCTTCCTCATCATCATCACCTCCTCTTTTATTAAGTCTAAGTCTATTTTTCCTTGCAAACTCTTCATCCTCATCTTCTTCTCCTCTATCTGACACATTCCCTTCATCATCATCTGCATTATTCTTTTTACGCCCTCTGCCACCACCTCCACCACCACCACCTTCCTTGTCATCAGGCCTTTCAACTTCACCAAAAGCAGATGCACCGTTGTTTGCAGCTTTCATCATCCATCTTTCATACCCATCTGCAGTTTTCCTTCTGTTTTTTATCTTTTCTTCTGCTTCCTCAAGTGTAAGTTGCTTGTATTGTGCAACTTTGTTGAAGTTGTACCTAAACACCAAATGTAATAATAACAAGTGTTTGTTGTATATCACTAATGGCATGTTTTTTTTCATCAAGTGCTGTATACACATCATCTGTTTCATTTTTAATCGAATGAAATCTGTAAATGTGAATATATGACCATTTTACCCTTCTGTTTAGGCTTAAAATCAGGGTAGTGGAATAGTATAGTTCCTAGTATCTTTTTTTTAATCTATATGTGCTTTTTGTATAGTATTTACATTCTTACTTTTATCCTCCATTAAGGGCTCATGTTTCATATGGGATTTGGGTATTGTTGTTTTTGTTTACCCTTCTGTTTAGAGTCAATGCAGAATAGCAAATGATTGTTTATTTGATAGCTGTTAGAAACTCAAAGATTTGAGACTTTAAAACACTACACAGATAAAACCATGATTCTGTTAACAATCACTGGTTTATAGTTGTATAAATATACTCTTACTTACCATAGAGGAAAGATCATATTTAAACATGTCGACTCTCTTTTCTGTTAACCAGTAATCAAGAAATGGGCCCACAAGTAGAAGGGATCCAGCATGGATAGGTGTTGTATGTCCCAACAGATTGAAAGACCTTAATTGTACATCATATCAGTTGCTAGAGAAACCTATGCAAAATGAGACAAAAATCACAATTAATTATTGATAACTTTGAATTAAATCTCATAACATATATAATTATTGAAAAATTTGAGTTTGTTACCTTTTCAAACACTTTCTGAACATAGCTAAGAGCAACAGTTCAGTGCTGGCTATTTGTCCAGAGGCAACCTGCAACAGATTAAGGAATTAGTTTTCATTATATATTTATTTATATCAAAAAGACAAACATATGTAAGTGAGAGTAAAATTACCATGTTGTCTATGTTGTATCTTGCAGCATAGCCAAGACTAGATTTGCGATGTTGACCAGCCCAGAACACTTCCCCACCTAAAGACAGGTGAGGGATCACACACTACAAGTAAAATATTACCCATGAGAAAATGCTGATATATATACAGACCTTAATTCAGCCTTCAATGCCTTCAATTCCTGGAAGATTGATTGATATGTTTGAGCTTATCACCACCTACCTTTCTGTAAATCACGAACTTGAGGACCCTTTGGAACCCCACCATAAATGCAAGTATTCTTAATCTTTAAAGATGCGCCACATCATCAATCAAACGAAATATATATATATATATATATATATATATATATATATATATATATATATATATATATATATAAACTTCAATGGAAATAAAGATAAAAAATATGATATGGAATTGTACCAAGATCTAAGGCGGGAAAGATGGACAAGATGGTTATAGGAGAGCTTCTTAGCCTTGGCCATCTGACTTTAGTTTCACATAAGAAACTTCTGTCCAATATTGGAGGCCTATAAAGCTCAACACTGTACAGACTGCTGATATTGATAAATACCCCACACCCATAGGATACAATGTAAATTTCATCAGGGCAACAAAAGTTCCAGGATTTCATGAGATAAAAATATACATGATCTCCCTTGCCCACTCAACTGCTCACTATGCAGGATTATCGAGAAGCCCACAAACTATAACTTAGTTTGTACACCTCCCCAAGGTCTGATCTCAATATAAGTGACCTGCATCAGAATATTAAAGAATAGGAAACTCATACATCAAGAAGGAACCATATCATACTTTTAAGTTTTAGCAGACAATATGATTTTCTAACCGATTATCTTCTGATGCTCTTATCACATTACTAGAAGCTATACCAACTCTAATCAAATCCAATGTGGAGAGATTCAGTGATGACACTTGTGATTAATAATATAAATCGATCAATTCATTTTCTTCTTTGTAAATTGATAGATAGATATTCAAGGAAACACCTACCCCTTTTCGATCAGAACATAGAGCACGAGTTGTACAAGCCCCAACCGATTGGCTTTTGTGTCCCGTCAGCCACCAGCACAACGAAAATTCTTCTTTTTTTTCCAATTCAAAGCTTGGTCAACTGAAAACTGGTCTGGTCCAACACAGATGGTGGAAAACAGCACGAAAATTCCTCTGCAATGATGATAGGCTAGGGTTTTAGAAAGAAAGAAGAGAGGAAATGTTTAGAGAGAGAGAGAGAGAGAGAGAGAGAGAGATTGAAAATAAGGTATGGATGATTGTGATCTTCAGAGATGACGTACACTTCTCTAAACCATATCAGGGCGAACCCATACCATCTAGAACTGAAAAACAGAGGAAACGATCATCTTTTTCTTCAAGCCCATAATAAGGTTACTGTATTTTGAAAATACGTTAAGAACAGTACCACAGCTCTGATGCATCTTCTCCTCGGCCTTAAACTCTCTTCTCTCTCTCTCTCTTTCTGCTCGTTTTTTCTTTTTTTCCTATTTTCTGTTCAGTCTTGTCGCGCACACACACAGCCCATCTGGGAAGTAAGACGACATGAACGATGGTGGAGGTGATAGCCGGCGGTGGCTGGTTTAGGGCTTTTAGAGAATATGAGATATTTTTGTTCAGAGAGAAAGTGGAATCGATGAGATTGTAAGCTTCGGTTACTGTATACCAAAAAAGCCGATGTAAGCTTGAATGAAAGTAGAATCGATAAGAATGTAGAGAGCCCCAAATTGAAACCTTGTCCAGTAGAATCGATTTGAGAGTGAGTGTTGGATTTATTGCTTCCCTTTCCTGGTTCGCTTACCCTTTAGTTACCCTAGTCGATCAATTCAAGCTTTCACGAAAAACCCTAGGTAGCAACTGATAGAGACAAGAAGGATGGGGCGAAGGTAGGATTGGATCCGATTTCAAAGAGTAACAGTAGATTTCACTGAAAACCCTTTCCCGGTTCGCTTGACCTTTGGTTACCTCAGTCAATCGATTCAACCTTTCCATAAAAACCCTAGGTAGCGACCGAGAGAGACAAGAGGGAAAGGAAGGAGCGACGATAATCTGGGCAAGGGGGAAAGAAGAAAAAGATGCGGGGTTTTTAATTTTTTAGGATTTCATTTTCCGCCTGATGGAACGCGCGTTCCATTAAAATTTATAAAACGACGTCTTTAGACGACACACATTATAGGTGCCCTCCGTGTTTTTTTTTTTTTTTGTTTAGACACTAATTTAAGGGCACGCAATAATGCGTGACATAAATCCTTTAATTTTTTGAAGAGACGACACTTTTTTAATGTCACTCTCTTTTGCGTAACATAAATCAGTGAGTGTCGTTGTTTGCGCGTCGTAAAAGGGTCTTTTTCTTGTAGTGATATATATATATATATATTGGATACATCGTGATGTTTGTAAAATTGGACCTTCCAAAGGTCTACAGTACACAAAGTTAATGAAAGTAAAACATTTAGCCGAAGTCCTACTCTATAACAAAATTTGGAAGTAGTTCAAGTACTACTTGCGACGCGTACTGCGTCGAGTACTAGAATCTGCTTCTTGGTGTTTGGTTCCCATCAACCGCCTTTCCAAGTTAGTTTGATTCTCCCTCAACTCTCTCATTTCAGCGAGGGCTTCACTTATTTGGCCTTGTAGCGCCTCGGTGTGGGTTTGGGTTTCATCATGTAACTCGTCCAGACGATGTATATTTGCAGTGTTGATTTGTGTCGTTGCATTGACTTCCAGAATCCGGTTTATCGAAATTCTCGCCTGATCGGTTTGGCGAGCTATCTTATCCACGATGACAGGGAGTGCTCTGTCGGTTGAACCTCTGTTACTAACGTTGTAAAAGTCTCGACACATTCCATATGGAGGGCGCACTCCTTGTTGTTGGCTCCAGTAATGTATGAGATTTCCCCACATTGGCGTCGGTCCTTGAAAACCTCTCCTGATTGCAGGAGGTGGGATGTCTGGTGGGGGATTGTACACTTCAGGTTCTCTATCGGTAGTGGTGAGCAAAAACCGCACCGCAACTAAAATTAACCGCAAAAACCGCATAAACCGCAACCGATAACCGCAACCGCAATAAAAACCGATGGTGAGGTTTTCTGTTTTTAAAAAACCACAAATTTGCGGTGCGGTGCGGTTATCAGTTTTCAAAAACCGCAAAAAAACCGCACCACACCGCATATATTACATACAATTTTTTTTATTAATTATCACTATATTAAATATTAAAAATAAGACAAGTTTCATGGATGAAAGATAGATAAAATACTAGAAAACAAAAGTGTTGGTTTTTTGTTATGTTTAACTTTGAAAAATGGTGAAATTAAACAATTTTAAGATATTTATTGTTAATTACTATGATTTGATGCTTTTAAGATATTAGTTGTTTGTGATTTAAGTTGATTGTCTTATGCCTTATGGTTTTTTTATCATTAAAAGTAATATGTTTGAACTCTTAAAACCGTTTGAGCTCTAAACTGTGGTTAAAAACCACACAAAATGACCGCACCAAATAAATATGGTTAATAACCGCAACACAAATAAAAATAAAACCGCACCGCAAAAATAACCGCCTAACTGCACCGAAAAAATAACCGCACTTTTGACAATGGATTAACCGCATTTGCGGTTAGTGGTGAGGTTTTGGCTAATAACCCCACCGAACCACACCGCGCTCACCCCCATGTATCGGTACCCTCTGACACTTCATCTTCTTCTTCCTCTATGGGTTCCTCTTCTTCTTCCTCATCCTCCACAATTTGTAACACCCATAAAATGCAAGCCAATTTAAACTTTTAAAAACATTTCAAATCCATTAACTATTACAAACTTGTTTTCAAAATGTATCATATCAGAGTATCCCATAAACAAAGTCATAAAAAGTGAGGAGCTGTACGATCATGCCTTCGCCTTGCCACGATCCCCTGATGTACCTGAAACAATAAACTGAAACTGTAAGCCCGAAAGCTTAGTGAGTTCCCCCAAAATACCGATACACATACAATCCACATAACCATGTCAACAATATCATATCAAACTGAACAGCATGTAATGGGTCCACAGCTTTATAGACTGGATTACCCCCTGGGTCCACAGTGTGAGTCTGGATTGCTTCCGGCCCACAGCTCACATCTGGCTTGCCATCGAGCCCACAGTACGAGTCTCCCTTAGCCCGTAACTGGAATGCTCCCGGGTTTGTTAAATTACCGCACGAAGCAGTCTCACCTCAACCCATCCCACATAACATATCACATATAATAACATAACTACTGAGCATGCGGATAAACATATAACAACACAGGTAGTCCTACAGATCTACCTGACTAGCATAACCACTAGCATGCAAAAACCCACTTCATACTCAATCATACTAACACACTAGAACAACATATCCAATGGGCCGGCCTTGGTGCCTTAGACCCCTTAGTATAGTGAGGATAACTCACCTTGCAAATGTCGACTCGGTAGATAAAATCCAACTATCGGATCACTGCCACAAACTCCCCCACCTATTATCATAATATAACCATACCCGTAAGTTCCCAACTTTTCAAGGTACCCCATAAGTTAACTAGTCAACCCCTGG